GTATTAAAACCTTTCGATCAGGGGAACTAACCCACTGCTTTTCAGTTGTTTCCACATTTCTATATTTAAGAGTCACTGGATGTGGGAACAATGTTAAAAATAAACATTTAAGTGCTGAAAGGGCTGTCAGACCTGCTGTACATAAGTATGAGAGCCATGTCTAATCGTATCATCATTATCATATACACCCTATATCAGTTTACTCAGAAATACCTCAGATACCACGCAGAAACACACCTGTGCAATGTGTGCTGTATCTCATGTGACCATCTTAATGTCAACCTCCCACCTTTCATCTCTGAGTCATACGTATCTTCCAGTTGAATATACAAAGGACAACACTCCCCTTGAATACAGACCCCTGACAACTGAAGCCTTCTTTGAAGGGCTCAATAATACAGTCATGCAATGTATATCATGGTACTCTTTATCTGATCTGATAAATATCATGATACACATTTTTGAGATTGGAACCACATTAAACTTATATTGGTTTTAAACTATTGTCTGTTTTGTGCGTATTAGCATACTTAAGTATCAAAAACTGATGACAAAAACGTAAGATGGCTAAACGTAAAACCATGAGCAGGGCTCCAGATAATTGTTCATGATCAGGAGTATGTACTCCTTATTTTTTCAATATAGGAGTACTGGAAAACAATAAGAGTACATTTAGAGTACTGAATGGAATTAAATGGCGTATCTGTAATCTAGTGTTTCGTTTCATATATGCACCACAACATTGCTACTCTTGTGTAAACAGGTCAATAAACAATAAAACAATACTTTGTCAGATAAATACGTGTGTAAATGATTTTAACACCATGCACCATTGCTGTGGTGCGTATCTGCTACATTTTCTAAATTATTTCCTACGTGCATATTTTCTATCCGTACATACGCACGGCCCTTATCTGGAGCCCTGCATGAGTGAGTGAGTGAACATTTAAGGTAACATCAGCAGTATTTCAGCCATAGCATGACTATGGAAGCTATATATTTACATAAGCCAACTCAGATGCAATAATTACTGTCTACAGTGTTCCAGACACTGATGTTTCTAATTATTTGGTCAAACCCAATATATATGTACATGTATACGTTCCTTTGGCTGGCAGGTTATATCATTAGAGCAATCACACTCAGGGGCTTAACAAAGGTCACCAAACACGTTTGGAGTCTTAAATTACAAATCTTTTTCCACCAATCTCCAATTCTTCCATTACAAACTATAGTTAGAATTGATCTCCAGTAACCCAAGCTTGTCACAAGAGGCGACTAACAGGATCGGGTGGTCAGGCTCTCTGACTGGTTGACACATGTCATCGTATCCCAATTGTGTAGATAGATGCTTATGCTGTTGATCACTGGATTGTCTTGTCCAGATTCGATTATTTACAGACCGCCGCCATATAGCTGGAATATTGCTGAGTGCAGTGTAAAACCAGACTCACTCACTCACTCAGTCACAAACTGTAGCAGATATGCCCATGTATTCCGAGATCTCAAGAAGTAACACCAGACCCTGGTCAGGAACAAGCACATACATATAGAACGTCATACTAGTGCATTTCAATGTTTTGTATTGAACGAGATGTCATAGGAGCAGATACACGAAGCAGAGTTCCAAGAACAAGTTGTTTCTCTGCTCCCATGACATCTTTCAGTTACAAACATCCAAATGCACCAGTATGGCGTTCTATATTTATTATATACCCTCTTATCTTGCATTAATCTGTTACTTAATAAAACAAATCATAGCGTAGCAAAGTAGAACCGGTAGTGTTTTAATACGGAATTTGGGGTGTAATACGGAATTTGACCGCGTCATCCATATTGCACCCCTGTATATCCTAAGTTTATATGGGTATATAATAAATATATTGTTATAGGTAGGCAACAACACCCAAACATTACGTGACCTGTTAAAATGGACAAACCCATTTATTGTTGCAACCAATGTAAATATAATTAATACAACAAAAGATGATTAATCCATATTCCTCCTGCCTCAACTCCCACCACCCACCACCCTATCCTATGAGGAAATACACAACAAATACATAAGAAAATAAGTTTTATAGTTTTTTTATCTGTTTTATGTTTACATGTCTTATCTACAAAAGTGAGTATTTAATTCAAAATTGTGTAAACAACCCCAACCTCACTACCTTAATGTCAGCATGAGCCCAGCGCTGGTAATCTGGCGATATATTACGTCATGTCCTCTGAGATTGATGAAGTCAAGGTGTGTACTGACATGAATGGGATCACTGTATGCAGGTCACTAAGACCAAGGACTTTCAGGGAAAAACATTCATATATTTACTTCTAAATTGAATTAATAAATGTATCCACTGAACATTTTAAAGAAATAATTCAAAATGTTTTTTTTTTAGCAGAATAATTTATTTTTGATAAATTTATAATTATTTTCTTCCCTCTAGTTTAATCCAACAATGCTATTTGTATAATGTGAAATGAAACATTTAAGGAAAAAACCTACATTATTACAAATAATAAAAGGGTAATTCATCAAAAAGGTTTAATGTCTTCTTGTGACAACATTTCAATGGCACTCAAAGACTACAGTATGTGCAGGTTGACACTTCTGAAAGATAGCACAGAAATAATCACATAAACAGTCCATGCATGTTTTGCAGTTTAAATATTTAACTCTGCACACAAAACTCAATTGTCATTAAACACAAACTGTTTGTACATAATCATATGACATTTACTTACTGCAAAACATGTATTCACTTATTTAGGTAAGACTTTGGTTTGTGAATCCAATCACAGAACATTATGAATTAAAAATAACATACAAAAATAAATTTTGCCCAAAGAAAGTAAGTAAAATACTTTTAAAATACCTCTTTTAATCTTCCTATCAACACAAATTATAACCTCAAAATCTGTGATGAAAATCTGTTAAAAATATATATCTTAAAACCTGTCACTACAACAAAATAGAAATTTGACCAGCCAACCCAAAATTGGTCCCGCTAGGACCTCTGTTGTGTCTGGGAGTCCGCCCTCACACTCACATGTCCATGTTGAAGTGTAACTACAGAAAAACTAGCTACAGAAAATAATACAATTAAAAAAGGGTTATTTAAACAAGAAGAATTAATTAATTCAACAAGTTTAAACCGTGATTGACATCTAATGTTTTGCTACACTGTCAGGGAAGTTAATTAAAATGACAGAAATTCTGCCCACAACGGTAGGGTCATGTCAGTAGACTGTACCACCTTGTCTTGTGTAACATTTTACATTGTCATGCATGACCCTGTTTGAGAATGTGCAGACTGTGCTGACTGAACACTTGTGAAAACAGCACTCCCTTCAATGAGATTAACACCCTCCATCTACTTGGACTAGGTCAACAATCGTCTAGAGCAGGCAGTTAATGAACAGTGAACAATAGCCTATTCTTTTCCCATGAAGGAGCCCTTTCAGAGAGCTGTGCCACTCAGCACTACTTAAGAGGCCTTAAACCTAACAAAATTCAATCTCCAGTTAGTTCTTTTTTCAATTATTGTGCAAATAAATTAATAAAATTAAACATGGTTGCAATGCATGATATAACAACAAACCTTAATTGCATAATCATACATACCAAAAGCTGGGAAAGGAACGCAAGAGCACATTGCTCCATTGACCTGGGTAATAATGTTGAGTATAAACATGCTTTAAGGTGTGGACTTGCTGCACTAAAATTATGCACATTATTATTTACACTAGTCTGAATATAAACAGTTTCACATGATAATGTAATATATTTTCTATGGAATATGCAGGCTGTATTTCATGTGGAAAAATATCAGCTTAGCGTATAAATCCTCTTACTATAATTCAAAGGAAGCCTATTGGGAGTGACATAATTCGAGTGTTTCCGTGCTATCTGCCCGACTTGGTAAAACGGTAGCCATATTGACACATAACTGCTCCCATCAACCAAACAACAAGACCCTAACTATTTCGACATCAAAGAACTCCATTTTATAACAGCTCATTCCATTGTAAAAGAGAGTTTAACATTGCTGTGAATAGTGCTAATATCAACACGGTTGGACACGGGCTGAACACACACACTTCCAAACACGGGATAGCTTCTCTCACATGTACCATCGATTTTCCCTATCGACTTCGGGTTGTTACAACGAAATTAAAACCATAACATGTGATTATATTTCAGGGTAACAATTAGAGTATCTTATTGTTGAGATTTTGATCCCTGCTGTTTAAACAATACATCACGCATGCAACCGAAAGTGCGATACTTGGACATTTTCTAACCGGTCACTTTGCAATCTGTCTTAAAATGTAGAACACAGTAATAAAATGACATGTGGTATATAAACTGTTTCAACCCAGATGTTATGATATATGTTTACTATAAACACGGCAATATTGTCGGCTTATATCTCAATGCGCTATAGTTTTTGCAGCTTGTAAATCTTCAGGTAGCGTTCAAGTGACATTTACAATACCTCGAGGAGGTTGAACTTCGTTCCGATAGAAACCTTGACGTTGCTTTCTTCTTTCTTAACAAGCATCACTGTTGAGTATTTCTAATCGGCCCAAATAAAACTTATAAATCTCAGTTTTATCGTCAAAACTCAAGGTAAGACGAAGTTAACGCTGATAAGAAAACAGCTTTGGCCATCTTATCAGCAAACCTCACTGGGTAGATTTGTTCATGAGGTTCGCTCGCCAAATGGAAGTAAATGTACACCATACAAATGAACTACTGACTTTGCTTTATCTATTACCGAAACTTTCTGCTGTAAGGCTTCAAGTTAGATGGTGGTGAGAATGAGTAAATTGGCACCGCCTTTCCTATACACTCCTGAATAATATCGCCACTAAGAAACGTGCTTTACTGTCGTCATCGGTATTTAAAAGAACACCAACACTTTTAAACATGTACTACTGAATGGCCGATTGTGTGTGAGGGCGGTACATGAATTCGGTGAAATGTTCAGACCTACCCTCGACCAACGATCATGCGAAGTGCCTCCAGCATTCCCCTACTGGCGGCCCAGTGTGTTGCTGTCATGCCGTCCTCATCAATAGCGTTAAGATCCTTCCTTTGGGCCTCCCGTAACACATCGGTAAAACCGTCCTTTGCAGCGTCAATAAATCTAGTAGACATTTTCCTTGGTTTTAAAACACAAATCACAACTTTGTCAAGAACATTCCCAAACTGTCATTAAGATAGGAGCTGTGTAGGTAAGGCGACTTGGTCGCTGGCTGTCGTACGGACTTTGAAGCAGTCGGTGGATACCGGCCGAGTGCCTCATGAATATTCATGATGACGTCACCGCCATAGGTGCAATGGCGTTCTCCGTCAAGGTATGATCGCCCATAAATTCTTATCTCGCCTTTGCACGTGTGTTTGTAAACAAAAGCTGAATTAACGTTCTAGGTAGTTAGATTAAGTTTCAGGGTGTTTTCTTGACTAGTTATAGCGGTCTGTTGACGTGACAGCTGATACGACGCAAGCTGGTTCAATCGGATTAACCCAATCCCTTCACCATATAGACAGACATACCAATGTCTACATTCGGACCTTGGACTGAAATATTTCAAACTCAATATAAATAATTAAGATATTTTACTGTAAACATATTTCCCTGATCGATAACAGTCTTCGCTTATGTTTCTACATGCATAAGTGTTCGGTACTTTACATGAGTTCGCAGCCCTAATGGTTTTTGTAAGTGGAATTCGATTCTTGCCATTTGTCGATCTAAATCTTTTGTTGCATATAGGATATGAGAAACCTCTCCTTTATCCCGCTCTGGAAACCGGCAGCGAAAGTCTCTTTATTTCTTGAATGCAGCTGAGAGTGTAGAAATTACCTGGCAGTAACACTCATGAAGTTGGATTATATTTCACACAGTGGAAAGGCTTTAAGAAATACACTATTGTCAGGTGAGGTAAACCGTCTTGATGTGTCGGTGCGTACAGGCGGAGGGAAGTTCATGGCTGTCAGAAATTAAAGAAATGCCAATCAACATAGCTTCAGATGTTTGTACGTCATGCATACAGGACATTAATGGACCAGGAATGTACATGGTCAATAATAAACTCAAGTAAAACAGGTAGGTATCGACCCTGGGGGGTAGTATGTGGACTTTGTCATGTTTGTGTGTTGTTCGTGTGTGAGAGAGGGAGTGGGTGGTGTTGGGGGCTGGGATTGGGGGTGGGGGTGGGGATGCTAGGTGATTTGACCGATGTATATTCTCATCAACGTTTGTGATTGTTTTTTTTGATTTTTCTTTTCTACAAGTAGATTTATGAAAGGAACTCGTTAACGAGTTGATGGTAGCACGTTAGTTTTTCGCATATTTGTCACATGACTGGGGTTCGATCCCCGATATGTTAACCCGCTCTCAGCCCTCTTCAGACATAATAATTCCATGCGTTTCTGAAACAAGTGTCCCAAAAGAACCCCATGTGTGATTGAGAACCGACACATGAGAGTCGGGTTGACCCAAAACAGGTCACATTGACAAATGTGTGTCGCTGTGTCTTGACGGGTTGTTGTTGTTGTTTTTAAAAGGACAGATAACATTTTATCATTTCAACTCATGTGATTTTTTGTGTTGCGAATGGCATAATGAAGTATAAGAAGCACTGGTGTCATCTGCCCAGTTGTTTACTTTAAACAGTTGGTCCGTTTTCATTATTTATTTTTTTCGATGCTGATTTTCCCCCTGGAAAATATATAAAACGTCATTGCTAAATCAAACCTTGTTGTGCTCATGTCTACCTGTTCAACTGCAACCATTTGTTCTATATCTCTGGAGATGTCTTCCCATTCTGCCTACAGCCCCGTTCTACCTACACGTTAACACAACATGATACGGTCAAGTGATGAAGAAGTAAGGTTAATGTGGTGACCTATCCTATCCTTACTTAAATGAACTTGACCAAAAGTTAATTGTAGTCAATACGGGAAAAATGTTAAAAAATAGCGTTTCTAGGTATAAGGTGTCTTTCTCTGGAATCTGTACAAAATAGTCTTAACCTCTAAGCGTTTGCTTGTTTGACGAGCGCTAGTAGCTGGTCTTTCCTAACTGAAGTAGAGGATATTCAAATCGATGGCTACAACAGTTTACACACTTTGATTTTGCCATGTTTAGTGCGGTCCTTATCGGTGGACAGTCTCGACTTCCTAGTACAAGACCATGCACTCAGACTGCATTGTGTGGCCAGGCTTTACAACCAGAACATGTTATGGCTAAACACCTCACAGCAAGGTCACTTCCGGGTTAGTTAATAGTCAGGGCTCCACACGTGTGACGTCTCCACAATGTGTGTGTGTGTGTGTGCGTGCGTGCGTGCGTGTGCGTGTTAAGGGGTGGGAAGAGGCCTTGTTATAGAGCAAAATATCAGCGTTCGAAATACCTGGTTATTTTCAACATGGACTGCTAGATTCTCAAATTCACCTACCCGACGGTCGGGTTAAAATTTAGATATGTAGATGAAGATATTCGTTATATTTCAGGATAGTAATTCATTATTAATTCACTCGTAAAAATACATGATGAATTCCAATTGGATGATAAACTACGTCGCTTGTCAAACCTAAATTATTTGCGGGCAGGTAAGTTTTGGTCAGGGCTGGCAAGTTTTACATCTAAACAGCCCTGTTGTCTGGCTGAAATTCTGGGGAGTTTCATACTCTGATAATATTTACATAATATTAAACCCTCTCATGGAGAACTGCATGCATATGGTTTAAATCTGTTTTTGTTTGTTTTTATAAATATTGCAAAATACCAGGTAACAGACCCCCAGACGTTCGTGGTTCTATGCTATAGCCTGTGACAAGCTGTATAGTTACGATAGTTCGTCATTCTCAGAACGTTTTGTGGGTCGGGACACAGCTAATATGTATAAATACCTCTCCTTCTAAATCACTACTTATATAGGGAACTGAAACTAAATTTGACCAAATAATACAAACTATATTAACGGTACAAGGCTGACATCAGAGGCCGGTACAAATCAAACTTCAGGTCCCCAATATAACTGTGATGTCCGTATCAAACGCATCAACACTGAATGACCATTTCATCTTAGTTTCACTTTTAGCTACTATCAAACGATTGCTTGTATGTTCTTATAAACCGGCATTTAAAAAAATTCATTAGATCTTCTTGAACGAAGTCATGTATAAATAGGCAATATGCCAAATCTTGCTTGAACACACGTATTACCATTATAAGTTGTTCTGCTTTTTTTAAATCATAAATACTAAATATGTTCATATGTAGATATAGAAGGACATGTCTCAGATTTATGGGAAACATTCCACCCTCCTTCGAATGAAGTTTTAATTACAGCAATACCACCAGCGGCTCTTATTTATTACACACCGTTGATAGCAGTATACAATATTAACAGAGACTGAGCTGACCTAGGCATGGCGACAGTCCTTTCTCATTCACTCCGTGAAATATAAATTACTTGATATTTGACAAGGCTGGAGGAAGGTTCTTAATGAATGCCCAGTGTGTACTTACTCAGTTGAAACTATCAGTGCATAGCTGGACTATCGTGTTTTAATTTTCACGAGATGACATAATGATCTAATCAAGCTTATTGCAAATCCTATTTTTTTTGTGGTGATCCTAAGACACGTATTGACCTATTTAACCAAAATAAAACAAGTGTCTGCCATATATCACTAGCCAAGGCCTCAGTCACGTAATCCCTTGAATGTAGACCCTCGATTCTGAATCTTATCTTGCCCGACCACAATAGTAGACGTTACAAGGCTCCTTGACGAGAATCTCGCCTGTAATATATGTTTTACTGTAAACGTTCCTCAGCCTGTGCGTATGTACGGTGAATGAAGAGGGCAGCTCGCTCTGGCTAAAGCGGATATCTATCGATCTGTTTCGATGTATTGATTCGGCGTGAAACCTATTGGGAATTGTTCCGTGTTTTGTTGCGTGTGTATGGCGGTGGGAGTCTACAACTGTGGCTAAATATGAGATCGATTGATTGTTTGTTATTTAAAGCTGCAGTCAACAATATCCCAGATACCTGAAAGCGGGTCTGTAAGCAACAGCTTCTGAATCAGACAATCAAATGATTATCACCGTAGGCATCGATCTACGTAAATGTCATATGATGGCATGCATCAACCAATTGGATATTTTTCCAGAAAACAACAACCTAATCCTGATACTGGAAGCTAATTCAAACACACATAACACGTAAATGATTATCCGCATCTGTTAAGGTTTAAGAACGTATGTCAATACTATCGATTTTGTGGGACAGTATCGATGCAGTAACTGAAGACATTTCCTATTGGTTTGATGTATTGTAATCAGTCCACGGATTACCACATTGTATCGACTGTGCGATGAGGGGTTACCGTTACACCAGAAAGAAACAGCATTGGCGTGGCCAAGTGAACGGCGCCAAGCAGTGCCATATGATATATTTTACGAACGCTTTACTTGATATGCTCAGTGCCATACGAACCGTGGGGATTCCTGGTAAGAATGTAGGTCTACATGTAATCTGTGTTTCTGTAAGAAGTGAGTATATGAACAGCATGTTCTGGCGCAGTAGCTTGAATGATTACATGTTATCGTATACCAATTATGTGGTGTCGATGCTCATGATGTCAATCACTGGATTGACGGGTTCGATTTGTTACAGACGGCCGTCATAATAGTCTAAATATTGCTGGCATAAATTAAGTAAGTAATTAATTAATTAATTAAATAAATAAATAAATAAATAAATAAATAAATAAATAAATAAATAAATAAATAAATAAATAAATAAATAAATAAATAAATAAATAAATAAACAATGTTCAGTAGCTTTAAAATTTGCATAACGTAATGGGTTTGTTTCACACTGCACTCCGTACAACATGCATTTAATGGGCTACAAAGACCATGGTGATGATAAGTGTTCGTTTAATGTTACTGCAGATGGATGACTGATCACCTGGAAAAATAAAATATCTCCGGCAGAAAAATGTCCTTCCTTTCCCGCTGTTTAACACCAGTGTCACATGTCAGTTCACACTGTGTTAGACTTAAATGTATTGGGTCAATACATGTGTATGGACGTTTACGGCTCAGCAAGAGCATGTATATGTGAATGTGTACGTATTTTGGGATGGTAAATATCCTGTACGAATATATACACAAGGTAAAAGGTATCGCGGCACCTAAGATTTTGTATTCATATCGTCATGTTTGTTTGTATGAACATTTCGACCCTTTGGGCGC